GTTCACCAGGCTGCACAACAGGTAATACCTCTGGGGTGAGACACCACGCAGGGACCTCTGTGTCACCAGGACCCCACATCCCACACGACATCTGAAACTGTGCCAGATAGCTGCTTAGGAAAATCCATGCTTTTGATTAGAGAGCCCTGGAGATCACTGCGAGAGCAGTTTTCACCATCTCTCTTCCTTTCTTAGACTGATGGCAAAAGAACCTCTCAAGATATTTAAAGTTTAGAAAGAATCTTCACCGTCCCAGTTGTCTTTCATATATCTGAAGATTTGATGGATGCTTTTCATTGCCATTTAAAAGCAGTCCTCCTCTGTAAAGACTTTTTTAGAGGCAGAGTGTTTGGAATTCTTTTTTAATGCCACAAATAAATGTACTGAGTGCATGTGGCTTCATAGAAAGGTGAGATGACAGAGAGCCATGCAAGTGTTCCTATTTATCTGAACTTTGCCTTTTGCAGTCCTTGTTTCCTAAGAAACCAGGCACATGTGGTGCTGCTTCATGTGGCCAGTGAGCCTGACTCTCTTGACTTTTCCCTCTAGCAAGTCTTTCTTTGGTTGCTCAGTTTCAGCAAAGAAAACCCCAACTTGACTGAGGACAACTGTGTCCCTCCCAGACGGACACTGCAACCTCCTTTCTGAAGGAAAGGCTGCAGCATGATCTCACCCTTATTAGTCAGCGGAGAACCAGCCCTGAGACATGTGTGCAGAGGAAACCCAGCTCCATTGTTTCCACTGCTCATGGAGCAAGGACTTTATTTATTCATTTTAATTTGACCTTTAAAAATAAATATGTCCTTTGGGATTCCTAAGCGGTGGGGGGTGGGGGGGTGGTAATGATTTGGTTTGGTTTTCCTTCTCTTTTAAAAAGAAAACCTAAATGTCAAGGTAAGGTTGATAACTTTCAAGGTTAAAAATTGTTTAAGGCTGTAATAAGCAATTTCTTCTGCTGTTTCCAAGCAATCCCTAACTCAAGTTTCTGATGCTTGTTTCAGGTGCAAGCTGTGCAGCATGTATATCCATCCCAGGTCCAGTATGTGGAAGGAGGAGAAGTTGTTTATACCAATGGAACCATGTAAGAGTCCCTTATTGGCAGTAGCAGAGCCCTGTTCCCCTCACAGCTGGGTTGAGCCCTTTAGTCCTCCCAGGCTCATTCCATCCCAGCACTGCTGGCACTTTAAGAGGAGGAAGAGGAGGAGCAGTTGTTTCTCATGCCATGTTACATGCACAGAGGTAGTTTCAGCCAGACTCCAGCCTTGGAAGAGATGTTCTCATGGAGGGACTATTCTCCAGGGTGTCCTGCCACATTAAAGTGTCAGGTATTTTCCTGTGCCCAGCCCATTGTGTGGTGATATGGGGTGGCTTTAGGAACCAGAGCAGAACTGCTTTTTGTTCCCTCTTCCTCCTGCTGCCCTCAGGGATGCTCTCAGCCTTCCTCACTGAAGTTACTTACAATGGCTGCAGAGCTACTCCTGGGCTCTGCTCTCACTGTGGCCATGGGCCTTTGCTCCAGGGCAGTCAGAGCACTGATCACCATTGTCAGGACTGATTCCTACAGTCCGGGTTTCAAATTCAACGGAGCAAATCCAACCTTTTTCCAAAGGTGTTTCTGATTTCAGAACCCGTTGTCCATGACACTAGGTCTTGGAGCTCTTCTCCACCTCCTGACCCTGTTGTTCCTTTGACAGACGAGCTGCCTACTCCTACAACACAGAAGCTCAGATTTACGCCCCCAGCAGCGCAGCGTCCTACTTCGAACCACAGGGAGGTGGAGCTCAGGTGACTACAGCGGCATCCTCCTCTCCTACAGCCATTCCCTCTCACAACATGGTGGGCATCACCATGGACATTGGGGGAAGTCAGATCCTCTCCGGCTCGGGAGCCTATCTCATTCATGGGGGGATGGAAAACACTAGACATTCTCTGTCACATACTTCACGCTCCTCTCCAGCAACGGTATGTAGCCCTGCAGATATTGCAGCTCAGGGGCCAGGAATTATTCCAAGGGAAGTGAAAAGCCTTCAGAAAATAAAACTTCCACTTGTTAGTTAGCACTGTGTATATGCCTGTATAATGTGCCATGCAAATGCAAGGGGGAGAATAGACACTGGTGTACTACAGGTCTTCTTCAAGGGGAGTTTGCAGTGTCCCTCTTGGTGGTGGGCAGAGGCTTGGCAAACTCTCAGTGGATCACTGAAATGATGCAGTGTGGAGGTAAGAATAAATTCTTGGGGGTTCTGGGTTTCCCCCTTCTCCCCCTCCAAGCAAAATGTTTTGGCTTTCCAATTCACAAGAATTGTCTATATTAACATTTTCTAATAAGATCCAAATGTGGGGCTTGGCTTACCCAAAATAAAGAAATGGATGTTTTTAATTATGAAGAGACCTGAAAAATCCATTATTAACACAGTGAATAACTAGCACGAAAAGGGTGTCAAGCTGATCATGCCAAATGCCCAGTGATCAAAAAGTCTTTATATGTATCTCCTACACCATTGTGTATTCTGTCCGTGCCATGTTGCAGAAAATGTATTTTAGGGGTAATCCTGATCAAACAGAAATGTTTTAAAGCTCTCATTTGCTTTAATCATGTCAGTTGAGGTGCCAGGATGCTGGAAGCACATCTGTACAGCTGTGTGGGACGCAGGGGGATGCAACTAGTAACCCAAACCAGCCTTTCTGCAGCTAGAACTTACCAGGGCTTTTATCTGGGCATCTGCCAGAAAGGGCTGGAGCTAATTCGTGGGCCACTGCTCACGTTCCCTTCCCAAGTTCTGTGTGTTTCTACACGTGTATGCAATCAGAATCACAAATGGAGGTGTAATTTAGTGTGTGTGGCCAGGTTTTAACATGTGAACAGCACCACCCAGGGAGAAAAGCAGGAGCTGTTTGCTATTGAGCACTCCTGAATATCTGGTTGTGCTTCCTCCTCCCACTGAGTTTAAGAATATGCACTTCATGGGGTTTGAATCTTTGTGCCTTGAAAGGTTGTCTTTGATCCTGGAGTACGTGTGCTCTGCCTTAGGGAGAAGTAGGAGTAAAGTCCTTAGCTTTGGGTGGAAGAGAAAATGACAGCTCTGGATTAGCTGGGGGTCATTTCTTGTGTGGGAATTGTGTCTGTGTGTATTTTAACTGATCAGAGTTGAAAACTAGCACTGGATTTACTGCTCAAGTGAGTTGAAAGGAAGTAGCTGCTGATCTTGTCACCTATGTGGGGCTGCCTCTTGCAGAGCTGCACACCACCACTCATGGGTTTGGGGGTTTTGGGGTTTGGGGTTTTGTCTTTTCTTCTTTATTCATTTTTCATTTCCATGGTGATGGGCACAATGTAAAAAGCCCAAGTAGAATGAATCAGTAGAAATGTCCCATGAACAGCTGTAGTTTGGAGCTATCACACCAGATAAAGCTGTTCAGCAAAAAAACAAGCATTCAGGAAGTGACCTTTATGAAAATGCATCTGAAATAAACCCACTGTGCTGCAGGTGAGGATGGACTTCTGAAGGAATTGTAACACAGAATGGCTTTGGATCTTGTGGAGGGGCTCAAGAAGCTGAAATAGTGGATGGAAGCCAATATGAGGATGTGTCTGTGTGAGGCTTTCAGTTCTTTCAGCACAGACCTGAGTGGGAATAGAGCAGAGCCATGACCACTGCTTTGAATTTCACATCTTAAGGGGGGAGAAATAGTGGAAGGCTTAAGGAGAACAATGACTACATCAAAACAATGGGCAGGAACACGTCTTGCTTAAACAGAGGATAGGAAAGGCTGGTGTTAAAGAGGATGGAGAGGCTGCAGTCCTGGAAACTTGTACTTCGGGCAGGATTAAGAGCTTTGTGGAGAGAAAGCAAATGTACTTGGCTCCTGCAGCTGCAGCCAAGGAAGCTGTAGTGTTTGCATGTGGCCTGGGGGGTGTAGTGCAAAGGGGATGGGTGTCAAAGTGGGCAGCAATGTGAGGGCTTGGCTATGTTAGCTATGTCTCAGCAGCTGCAAGGAATGGGGAAGCAAGAGGGCTTCCATATCTGCTGGAATAATGATGTCCCGTTCCATCCACTGGGCTGAAACAGCACATGAATCAGTCCCATTCAGGCCTTGCCAATAGAGCACTGTTAATCTTCATTGAAATTAGGCTTTACCATCCTTCAGACCTCCCATAAGTGGGTCCTCGAAGCTCCCCACCTTTGTGCTGGGCTGTTTAAGAGCTTTTAGTCTTTCCCCTGTAATATTGCTTCTTACTGAAATGCCAAAAGGACAGGCAGCATCACTGTGCTTTTGTAAGAGGTGTTGCTCAACTGGCACCACACTGAACAGAGGAAGGAAATGGTGTTTCCCTCTAACACTGACTCATTTCCTGAAGGCTGCATCAGCAATCAGTCCTTGGTTCCTCATGGCACACTGTGGTGTGATGGACAGCTTTCTCAAAAACCAACTGACACATAGTCTTAGACTGACCTTTGCTTAAATTCAGTGGAAACTACTTGAGAAGTGCTATAATGGTGGCTCTTGTGGATGGAAACCAAGGAATCTGTGCTGGAGGTGCTTGGACAGAGCATCACATTTGGAGATGGATATGGCACAGACTGTGTCTTTGGTTATTAAATGGGGTTTTGTTTGAATGTTTGGTTGTTCTTCAGAAGTTAGATGTGATTTGTTCTGTTCTCCCACCTTTCTGACAGAGCTTGGGTTTGTAAATGGTGGGTTTTATCTCAACCTTCACCTTCACCGTGCTATAAGTTAGGGCAAAGGGGGTGCAGGACCTGGCGACTATGTGAAGGAGGCAATTAACAGCTCATTGTGGAGATGCTTTGTGCATGTGCCTACAGAGGAATGCATGTTAGAAGAGGACAGATGCTAGAGATAGCTGCTGACCGCAAGCTTTATTGGCTGATGTGTTGCCTTGTCCTGCCTGCACTAACAGGTCACAGATAACAGGGGTCTGAGAACATTTACGCAGGAGCAGACAGTCTCTTCTTGGTTTTTTTATTGGTTTGAGGGTTTTGCTTTCCTTCCTCACCTGCAAAAAGCTTGTACTCAGCAGCACTAGAGCTCTGGGACCAGCAGCCATCAGCTAGAGATTGCCAGAGATTGCCAAGGGAGCCCCACCAGCAGGAAAGAGAAGACAAGAAGGGTCCAGGACAGGCTCTGGGCCCAAGGCAGCAGCCAAGGCTGGGCTGAGTGTTGAACAGAAGCCAGGCAAAGGGAACAAGGAGACGCGGGGACTCTTCAGGGGCCAGAGTGCCCCACCAGGTCTCTGCTTGGTGAAGCTCTGGGGTAATGGACACGAGCACAAGCAGCATCAAGATGCTCCAGCCAGTCTGCATGGGAAGAAGTTCACTTAACTGAAACCTGTCTTCTTCCTTCAGAGTCCCATTGCCGTTCTCTTCTGCAGCAAAGAGCTTTGATACATCCCATTCTATGTGTTGACACTCCTTGTGCCCCTGGCCTAGTTAGTTGCCATTAGTTTTTGTCAGAATATTAAGAAGCAATAATAACTGAAGTCATTGCTTCCAGTTTGCCTTGGAAGGGCTGGGTGAAATACACCTTCTCCATAACACATCCCCTGTGACCTGCTGCAGCATTATCTGTCTGGTGGGGTTTTGGTCTAGGCATGAAGGGGAAAGGAGAAGGAAAACTGCTGCTCTTTTATAAGTGGGCTATAGTGGAAGACTAGACCCCCCAGGTCTGCTCCTTGACCCTCATAGGGGTCCTTGCCGTGTTGCTGGTTGCATGCCATACAGGAATGTCTCTGCAGCTTCATCCCATAAAGACTGTGCTTCATCTGTTTGCCTCTTTTTCACAAGCCTGTTGATATAAAGCATTAATCATTCAAATATTAATAAAGAAATAATAATCCTGGCTGTTGCTAACTATTTGATTTCCTTTCTTTTTCTTTTTTTCCCTGTGTTTTTTTTTTTCCCTGTGCACATTTTCTTTAGCTTGAAATGGCGATTGAAAACCTACAAAAAAATGAAGGGATTACATCACACAAAAGCAGTTTGCTCAACAGCCATGTAAGTTACAATCAGAATTTACAACCTTTTCCCTGCTTTGGTAGGAGCATTATTTATAGCCCTTTGGTATATTCAATAGCACGAGCCACTCAGAGCAGCCTGTGATTCAGCTTTGCTGCCCTAAGCAGCCCATTCCCAAGAACCTGCCCGAAGTGCTGTGATGTTCATGTTTGTTGGTGAGATGCTCTGGATTCTGGTAACTGCCTCTACCCTGTGTTTGTTGATTACATCTGCCTGGCAATGGAAATTGCTAGCAATTAAATAAACACATTTAAGGAAGTTCTTTTTTTTTCACTGGAATTGAAAGATGGCTGGAAAATGATTTGTAATTCTACAGCAATAACTCAGTGGGGATCAGGAGAGATACCCCTTAGATAGCTCCTACCAAAAGCGTACTCCTTGAATGCCTTTACTGCCTCTTTCTGTGCCTCAGGAAGACCATTACTGTTACAATGCTATGCTAAATCCATTTGCTAGACCTCTCTCTTCTCACTATGCCAACAATTTCCCTGCTTTGTGTGAAGTTCCCACTATTCTACTGGCCCTTCTGCATCTTGGTTTATGGCTCCCATGCAGTAATGCTTGACAGTGAGCACATGCTTGTGAGATTTGAAGGGTCTAATTCAAGTCCTGTTGAAGTCATTGGGCTTGCCTTGACTTCATTGTGTTTTGGATTAGGCTCAAGCATGTTCTGCGCTGAGAAATCACAGTGTACAAAGTGATACTTCTTTATTCTAACAGATTTCTTGTTGCTTTGCATTTGGGGGCGTAGCTGTTGTCATTCTTAGGTCCTGCAAAATAAAAAAATCCTTGCCCTTTTCACCCTGAGAAAATAAAGGGAACATTAAACTTAATGGTCTGGTTCTCTTAAGCTGATGTTGAGCTGCAAGCCAGGACTCCTGTCAGCAGATTTGGCTAAGGATAATGCTGCTCTGCAGAGCTTTTCTTGTTCACCCCAGTGCAGAGCAGGACACAGTGGGTCATGGTGTGTTATTGAAGGAGGTTTGAAAAGGAGCAGGAACAGGACAGAGGAAAGCAAGTGAAGCTAGAAAAGAGATGTCATCTGACCACTGGCTGTACAGGATGGTGTTGGGGCCTTATCCAGCCTCTGATCAGATCTTCCCCACCCTTGTCTTGCAGGGTAGAATTATAGAACCTAATGTGTCTCTTCTTAGGTCATGGGTCATAGTTTGGCAAAAGGCTTAAGGTCTTTTGGAGATTCCAAAGCAAATAAACTGCTTCCTGAGCATGTGTGTACACATCAGCTCTCTGGTCCTCCCTGCTGAAGATGTTGGTCCAGGCACGAGCAGAGTACTGCCCTGGGCAGCTCCAGGGCTGGGGTGGGCAATTCCCTCTGCCAAGGCACAGAGCCTGAGCCAAGGAAACTTGTGGGGCCCTCGCTGCCCTGTGACCCTCCAGTGTCTTACTCTTGTCTTCCTGGATCATGGAGTGATGTCTGAGGACATGTGGGAATAACAAAGAGGTGATGGTATGAGCAGTGTCAGTAGGAAATGCAGCGCGTTGCAGAACTGGATCAGGCAATCTCTTTCCAGAGCTGGAGGAAGGTCAGTGCTGGCTGGTGTCCAGGGAGGTTGCACAGCCTCTGCCTGGAGAGGTTCTCAGGACTCAACTGAATGAGCCATTTGACTGGACTGAGGGATGTGACCTCCCTTGGAAATGAGCCCTGATTTGAGTTGGAGGGTGGACTGGAATCATGGAATCATCCTCAAATGGTTTGGGTGGGAAGGGACCTTTAAAGACCATCAACCCCCCTGCCCTGGGCAGGGACACATTCTACTAGAGCAGGTTGCACCAAGCCCCGTCCAACCTGGCCTTGAACACTGCCAGGGATGGAGCATTCAAGTTCCAACTGCAGTGTCTGGGATGGGCTGATCAGCCTGCAGCTCTTTGCACGTGTTCCCTGGCACATGCTGTGTCTCAAGGGTTTCTGCTTTCTACGGTGGTTCGATTTCCATCTCTTTATGTCAAAAAAAACCAAGATAAAACCCAGGCAGAGCATTACCTATCCCAAACACTTGTGTGGCCAACACACAATATTGTCAGGACCACACATGAGAACCAGAAAGTGATTTGCCAAAGCTGAAAGCAAAATATGAGCTTGACAAAAGCTACTAGGTGAAGTAGTCGTGAGATGATGCTAAGTACACTGTTGGTTGTGACTGAATTGCTCTTAGTCTTAAGGTTACAGTGTTTTTCATTCAGTGTCCATAGAATCATAGAATCATAGAAGGGTTTGGGTTGGAAAGGACCTTAAGACCATCCAGTTCCAACCCTCTGCCATAGGCAGGGATGCCTCACACTAGACCATGTCACCCAAGGCTCTGTCCAACTTGGCCTTGAACACTGCCAGGGATGGAGCATCCACAACTTCCTTGGGTAGCCTCCAGCGCCTCAGCACCCTCACAGCGAGGAACTTCTTCCTTATATCTAACCTGAACTTCCCCTGTTTCAATTTGAACCCATCGCCCCTTGTCCTGTCATTCCAGTCCCTGATGAAGAATCCCTCTCCAGCATCCTAGTAGGCCCCATCCTTGTAGTGTTCTGTCCCTTGTTTTAAATTTCACAGTTTGCAAATGTGTACATGGGATCCTGGTTTATTTTGTTGCTGTCAGCAGATGCTTCGTGCCAGGAATCTTTGTTTCAAGCACAAGAAGGAAAATGAAAGGTATCTCAGTCAAGAGGAATTTTCTTTTTACATAATGCTATTTAACCAAAGTGATTGTGAAATAGAGCCACACTTGATGGCTTAATTTAGCTTCAAAAACTCTCGGAGGGGTTATTTAAGTGCACTTGAAATACCAAATTTGGAAGCCTAAGCTAATGTTAATACCCCAGTGACACATGATGGTTCTAATGAAATCATGTCGATCTATTAGTATTGCTGAAAGGGCTCTGCTCACAAGTGGGCTCCAGAGTCGCTGGGTCAGAGGATTATTTCTTTGCCAATTATGAACTTGGAGATGATGCAAAGAAATGTGGGAAAATGACTGTAATTCTTGTACTCAAGTGCCTAAAGCTCAGCACAGAAGGAAGCTGTTGGATGCTATCACCTACCTGAGACCCTGCATCTCCTCTATAGCCATAGCACTCATAAGAGGAGGGGAAAAAGGTATTTTTTCCTCATTTCCTCTAAAAGAAAATCCCTCAAACCACCAAAATAAACCCCCATCAAACCACTGGACTTCTGAATGGCTTTTAGGTAGTGCTGATGGAGTTTCTCACCTGAGGACAAGATCTTACCCCCAAATGGTGTTTAAGTGGAAAAGGAGAATCTAGGGTTGGAAAGGACCTTAAGATCATCTAGATCCAACTCAGAATACTGTTAAAGGGAATAATTGTCCCTTGGCTGGAGGAGGAATGTAATGGCCTGATGAAAGGTGAATCTCCTGCGTGGAGAATGGCAGGTGATGCTGGGAGCTTGTGCTCATGTATGTGGGTTGCTCAGGGCTTAACTATGGAAGGGAGCAGAGCTGACAGGCACCTGGTCCAGGAAAGAGACTTTTCAAGAAAATATAGGTTTTGATGGAACTTTAATTGCAGAAGATTGGTGGGAAACCACTTCTCCCATCACTGAGCTCAGGGTGCTCTGCAGCACGCAGTGGCCCAGGGTCAGAGAAGCATAGAATCCCAGACTGGTTTGGTTGAAGGGACCTTAAAGCTCATCCAGTTCCAACCCCTGGCCACAGGCAGGGACACCTTCCACTAGAGCAGGTTGCTCCAAGTCCCATCCAACCCGGCCTTAGACACTTCCAAGCTCCCTCCTAAGGAGCTGGTCTGAGCCAGGACTTAGGAACTTGCTCCTTTTAGTCTCAGATAAAAACACCTTAAATATGAACCACAAATGTTTGTCTTCATTGGTTTCTTTTTCATGGAAGTACCCATAAGAAAACTTGTCCAAACCTGGACCTTCAGAAAAAAAAGGGGTTTTGTTTTCCCAGATAGCCCCATATACCACTTCTTTCATTCCTTAGGAGCCATCCTTGAATCAAAGAAAGACAAGTTGTTTGCTAAGGAGGTTAATTTTATTTTTAAATCAAACCAAACAGTCAATAGAAATAAAGTTAGAGCAGAAATGAACTGGAAATGTTCCCCTGTAGAGCCTGCAACAAACACAGCAGCACATGGCTGCATAGTGATTTTATTGGAACCTGCTCATAGTATGCACAGCAATGAAAGTGTAGAATATCTTGTCATTGTCACAACTGAGTGGAATTCAAGAAGAAGGGATACAAATGGAAAAGAATCTTTAATGTTCTCATTTCAGGTGCCTGCTCTGTTATTGCTAATGCAGAAAGAGCAAAAGTCATGTTTTTGTGAATTATTTATATTCTGACAGATTTCTTTTTTAAGCTTTTCTGTGTGTTTCGTAAGAGATTTCTAATTCAATAGTGGGAGTTCATATAGTGAAACTGTAATGTTTAAAGGAATATAAAGAGACACTTGCAGCAAGAGAAAGCTGTAAGCTGAAGGGAATATTCTAGAAATATCTGGGGTTAAACTAAAAAAGTCCAGGATCAAATTTAAATGAGAGGTTTTTACCTGTGTCTGAATTTCCCATCGTAACATGCAAATTTTCTATCTTTTTTTAAGGTTTGGAATTAGGAGAGGTTAGAAAGTAAATACGTGATCCACATTCAGTGTGTTCCGTAGGATAAATCATGGAATCACAGAATGGTTTGGGTTGGAAAGGACCTTAAGACCATCCAGTTCCAACCCCCT